AAAAAAAAAAAAAAAAAAAAAGATCACGTCTACCGTTCTGGCCTGTCTCTAGGCCTGGGTAGTCCATGGTAGTCCATGGTACAGTACCGTACCGATTCATAGATGCCGCAAAAAGCCAGCATGTACCGGCTTGTCGTATACGTTGCTAAGTACTGTCGCGAATTCACAATACCAGCTTTGTATTCCTGTGGTTTAGTAGCATTTTTATTTTTGGCCGGAATTTTTTTTTATTCGCCCGCGCGCACTAGTTTGGGGGTCTTCAGAGGATGTCATCCATAACATTAAATCGGTGTGGCCTAACCGCCTTTCGGCGTAACACACCAGCTTGTGCGTCGATCGTACAACGTGTGTGACGGGGACCACGATTGTCGAGCAATAAAGTTCATTCATTCATATTAAACTGCATATGAAGAGTATCAGTCGTGTGGATTTCAGCACATTATCCTATAAGTTTGCCTGTACTACTTTACTAATTTAATTTCCCTCCGAGATTTCCCCCTGTCATGTCCTTGAGGCTGCAAGCGCCATGGCAAGGTTTGACGTCACCGGAAACAAGAAGCGTTGATATCACGTAATTTTCTAGCCGGAGGGAAAGGTGTTTTGTACATCGTCCTGTGGCCTAGAATCCGACAGGAAGTTAAAAATGTTATGGCCTTGTCAAAGAGGCTAGTGTCCAAAACGTTTGCTTGGGGCGTTAGGTCGGGTCACCGGAAACATAAGGCCATGTTGATTTGATTATATGGATGACATCCTCTGGGAACCCCAAAACTGATGCGAGCGTGCAAATAAAAGAAAAAGTTTTGCCAAAAAAGTTGCTTTCATTATGAAATCTAAGTGGTCAGGAAGGTTGAACAAATGACATAGACTATGGTATGGCGAATAATCTACTCTTCAAATTCATTTCTTGGCATTTTCGTCTTTTTCGTTGACTTTTGTCACTCTACGACGTTGGTATCGGTTTCCAGTGATTTTATTTTGCAACTTACGGTATATGTTTGCTCATTTTGTAACTGTTTTGTACGATTTACAGTATGGTTGAAAACCTCTTTTTTTTTTAAACGGATGACAATTCATGCGCACGCGGATGTCATCCATATAATCCAATCAACATGGCTTATCTTTTATTTGGCCTTATTAGGGAGCCATCGTCGTAGAAATCAACAGGAAGACGTGTTAAGTGGAGTCATTCACCTTAATTATCAGCGATCAATCAGCATAAATTATCTCTCTTAAGGTCACCTCTGGAACCCAGGTTGTTGTTGATTATTTTTTTCGTGATTGGGTTTACCCTTGCAAAGAAAGTATGACAATCCATACACAACAAATGAGAAACTTACTATTAATATGCTTTATGCTTCAGGGGCGGAAAATGGTTTCGGGAGGCAGACTTGCAAGTTTGTGTTTCATGACTAACGCCACACCGACTTAATTTTATGGATGACGTCCTCTGAAGACCCCCAAACTAAACAAATTCGTACCAAAAATGAAAATGCTACTAAACCACAGGAGTACAAAGCTGGTATTGTGAATTTGCGGCAGTACTTAGCGACGTATACGACAAGCCGGCACATGATGGCTTTTTGCGGAATTTATGAATCGGCACTGTACATATGTGCTGAGTTCTTGAGTCGTGGAGTTTCGGTAGCCTGGGTGCCCGGCTCCGTATTGTCGCTAACTAACCATAGACTACCCAGGCCTAGAGCCAGGCCAAAGCCTCGGTGGACGTGATGTTTATTTTTTTTGAGAACAGGCGAAAATCAATGCGCGCGCGGATGTCATCCATAAAATTAAGCCAGTGTGGCCTACAATGTAAGTAGTGACGGTTGTATGGAGGATGGGATTTGGTTTTGAAAGTAGATTGATACGGAAGGTCAAGACCCCTGTATATCTTACTCACATGAAACAGCAATACATGTACTTCACTCACCATTCAACTCTGTGATGACAGAAATTTAGTGTCAGCTAACTGTGGGAACCCTCCCTGATAACTACAGGGGCATTTCTCTGTCCCAAGTGGCAGCTAAAGTGTACAGTCGGCTCCTGCTAAATAGACTCCGTCCTGTGATTGACAAACTTTTGCGCCCAAATCAGAATGGCTTCAGGCCTTCACGCTCTACCTCGGCCCAGATTCTCGCTTTCCGCCGAATCGTTGAAGAAGTTCGAAACCACCAGAAGGAAGCTGTCCTTATCTTCATCGATTTTAAGAAAGCATTTGACTCGATCTATCGTGACACCATGTTTAAGATCCTACAGGCCTATGGTGTTCCTCTGCAGATTGTCAACGCAATTAAGATTATGTATGACAACACTAAGGCTACTGTCCTCACACCCGAGGGAGAAACAGACACCTTTAACATCAACACAGGCGTCTTACAGGGTGACCCCCTTGCACCTTTTCTTTTCATTGTTGTGTTAGACTACGCCTTACGTAGAGCAGTAAGAACTCATGACGGCATTACTTTAAAGAGAAGACAGAGCTCGCGTCACCCAGCAGTGGTGCTACCTGACCTTGACTTTGCTGACGATATTTGTCTTCTAGAAGACACTATCAAAGCTGCTCAAGAGTTTCTGTACAGGGTAGAGCACGCCACACAGGATATTGGACTTTATTTAAACGCACTAAAGACTAAATTTATGCACCTTAACCCTCCAACAAGGCCCCAGGCCTTGCTGTCTAGTGATGGCTCTACTATTGAGCAAGTGGATGACTTTAAATACCTTGGCAGTTATGGTAACACAGTCCATGATGTGAAATGTAGGATTGGGCAAGCTTGGGGGGCTTCTAATGCCCTAACAAAAGTGTGGAAATCCCCAATAGCCAACTCTACCAAGCTAAAAGTCTTTAAAACCTGCGTTGAGTCAATCCTGCTCTACGGAGCTGACTCGTGGTCCCTGACAACATCCTTGTGTAAACTTCTGGATGGGAACTACACCCGCCTGCTTCGTGCAGCCCTCAACATTTCATGGAGGAGTCACGTGACCAACAACCAACTTTATGGAAATATGCCTCGGATTACAACACTCATCCGCAACCGTAGGCTGTCGCTGGCTGGCCATGTCATGCGACACGACGAAATGGCAGGGTTGGTACTTCTCTGGTCACCAACAGAAAAGCGGAGACGCGGTCGCCCTTCTTTAACTCTGAAGAAGGTGATAGATGGGGACATAGGTCTGGGCGGTGCTGAACTATCCTCTGTCATGCATGACAGGAACTTGTGGAGGCAGTACATTGTGTCACCTGATTAAAGGATGAACTGAACTGAACTGAACTATGGGAAAGAAGCCAATAGTCTAGCAGTCAAGAACACTTTACATGCCTTTACATGTGCGCAATATAGCCCCATTAAAGCAACTGGAGATGAATTCACAGTTTTTTTATTGTGTGGTTATTATTAATAGAATGAGATTTCTTCCTTTGTTCTATATTTACATACAAGTAGATTGTTTGTTCAAAATAGTATGTTTACGTTCAGTATGATCAAGTCGGGTTTCATCTTCTACGCTATTACAGTTACAAACCTCACAGAGTTCGGTTATGTCTGCCGGTTTCTATGCGTAGATCAGGTCACTAATTGTGGAAATTGAGATCTCCAAATTCTTGTTAAAACATAAAACTGTGTCATTTATGAATTCAGTTGTCAGTGTGACAAGATGAAAATAGAAAAAAAGCATACACTCATTTCATATTTCATGTTATTATTACATCTTTCGAGTTGCAATTTAAGATGATCTATCGGCACACTGTTAAACAAGAAAGCGTACGTAGTCACTGAGAAAGTTTTTTGAAAATATCAATTAACAAAGCAAGAATATAAAGTGATATTCTTTACTGTTTAATTGATACAGCTCTGGCTAAAATAGCACTTTAAAATATGTTAGCTGTTTAATAGGTACGGTTATGTATACCTTCGGGTATATTTTCATAAATTGTTTCTAGAAGATTTGGCAAAATATACATGTTATGATCCGCCTATACATGTATGGTGTGATAATGCCTTGTTATTTGATATATAGCTCAATCATTACAAGAATAGATTATCGTTAGCCTCTACCAGGCACCGCGGATCGCTGGAAAAATAGTAGAAATTGGCCAAAAAAAAGGGATAGTATACCAGAGAAGATCCCAGGCCATAAAAGGTCCAATTCGCGATCCACGTATTTTTCCAGCGATCCGCGGTGCCTGGTAGAGGCTAGGGTATTGTGGTTAGAAGTTTCTTGTATCTATGTTTAAATAAAGGATATTGAAGTGCCCGGGGTAGTTCATGAGGCACAAGGTGACAGCTTCTTACCAAAGACGTCTGCTAGTGTCTTGACCATTGATTGATCAATGTCAATGAAGACAATTCTCCTTACTGTGCAAAAAGAAGACCTTAGGAGGAACTGTAGTAGGCCGGAAAGCAGCGATTCGGCACACGTATCCTTCGGCATGCCAAAGATTCCTGTGGAAAATGATAATACCATCAAGCACATAATATTGAAACACTCTGTCGGTTACATGAAAAATTATGTCTTTATCTGGTACACCCCTGTGTTTAAAAGTATACAATTTTTGGTATATCACGCCTATTATGCAAAGAAATGTGACAAACATGGAAGGAAAACATCTTAATTATGAAGAACTTCAGGAAGGATAAGGGCGGTGAGAAAACATCCATTTAAAAATACATTGCTGGGTGTGCTCAACCCATGCATTTCTGATCTAACCATCGTCGCAAATTTTTTCCTGAAAGAGTTTTCTTGTACATAGTTGAGGTGGTAGGTGAAGCGTACATGACAATTATAGTTGAATGAAGCTGAGAGGATAGTCGTGAAGTAGGTATGTGTCTCATATTATTATTATTATACTTACCAGAGCCTATTGCCGGAAGAGCTACCGATTCCACCCGAAGTGTTGCCGAAGCTTTGGTTAGAATGCTGTAGCAGGTCTCCTGGAGTTGTTGTTTAGCCTTTTCCTCGTTACCTCGTTCCCACTTCGGTCCCACGGCGTGAATGATGTGTTTACAGGGAAGCTTTCCTCCACTTGTCACCGCCGACTGTGTGACCCGAACAGGTCCGTATTTTTTGACATGGTCATTGCTCTCTTTCTGGACAGACGGGCCGCCTGCCTTGGAGATCGCTCCGGCTATACCACTCCCGTGGCTGAGGGACTCGTTCGCGGAGTTAGCGATGACATCAACCCGCTGTTGTGTGATGTCTCCTTGGGCGACTACAATCTGTATCCCCTTCCTTGTGGTGTAGTTCAACCATTCTGTAGTTGACGAGCTCCCACTACCAGTCTGGCCAAACTTGTCGGGCAGTCCTGTTGTCCCAGCCGCACCCTTCCGAAGGCTCCTTTGACCTCGTGTGAGTGATATGCCGAGATGTTCACACATCGCTGTCTTCGCTTCCTGGACTTCTTTCTCTGACCCGTAGAACAACACGTCTTTGTTCGGACTAGGTTTCACCATCACCCGGGGGAAGTCTTTCGTGATCTTCGCGACTGCTTTGGTGACTTCATCTGGCGGTATGTGCCTGGACTGTAGCTCTAGCAGCTTGCACACAATACCGTGATGAGTTTTCAGGTAGAGGGTGGTGAACTCTTCTTTAGCATTCTCTGGATCGCTGTCGGCTGCATGGCTTCCAAAGAACTCCACTTCTGTTTGTCCGTCGACATCGGTCATGACGATCACTGCTTTGTTCTTCAGCATGATATCAAGCACCTCCGAGCCGTTAACCTGGCACAGGTAAGACTTGATATCCGGAACTATGACCATCTTGGACGGGTCGATATCGTCGTGGCTTGTCTGTGTTTTGCGATTTTGCTTGTGAGGACTAGTGCTCGGTTGTGGTATGCTCTTTTCAACAGCCGTGTCTGATGGGAATAGGAAAAAAGAGACACGTCAACAATAGATAAGCTTTGATACCTAATCAAAGTGCTTTTAGCATCATGATTTGACTAAGGCCATGTTGATTTGATTATACGGATGACATCCTCGAGCGCATGAATTTTCGGCCGTTTCCAAAAAAAAAAGTTTTCAACCATACTGTAAATCGTACTAAACAGTTGCAAAATGAGCCAATGTATACCGTGAGATTAAAAAAAAAACATTGGGAAACTATACCAATGTAATAGAATCCCGAAATCAAACGAAAAAGACAAAAATGTATACGTAAAGAAATTAATTTGAAGACTAGATTTTTCGCCAAACCATACTGTGTCATTTGTTCAACCTTCAAAACCACGTAGATGAAAGCAACTTTTTTTGCCAAACTGTTTTATTCGCACGCTCGCATCGGTTTTGGGGTTCCCAGAGGATGTCATCCATATTATCAAATCAACATGGCCTAATGCAGAAGTAGAATACTTAACAAGATTTGTCGAATTAGTGAACTATCGTATTGGTTATTCAAATCATCAGTATGCAAACTAGTATCTAATTTGCAAAATTAATTAGGTACGTCTATAAATATAATGTTTTCTAAGAAAAAAATATACAAATGACATGTAATTGAGAACGAGAGCTAACATCGGCAGCTATGCAAATGAAGACCTAATTGGCATAACGACGAGAAAAAAAACTACAATTTCTTAATGGTACTCGTAACTGCCGGAATTTCAAACTCACACTAATTTGAAAATTAAGTGAAGATTAACATCATTAAACATAAGTTATTCAAATCAGGACTTAACTTAGTAATACATAATTTATGATCGAGGAAACACCAAAATAGCCTTCTTTGTTAATTATAATGAATGTAAGACTGTCATTGAGTGGAGAATATGATCAACCGATCATTTCATGCAACTACTAAGGATCATATCTGCTTATTAAATGACAACCATTTACTTGGCGATGGTATGAGGTCGTGGAACTCTCGTTTAGATGTTATTAGTAAATTACTTAGATTTTGAATGTTGCGTACTTATATCGCTGGCTACATGTATTACTTTGAAAACGTACCTGACATGGCGAGTAGGGTTTTCCATTCCTCTATGCCCTGAAGTATACCGCGATCTACGACTTTTTTGCTAGTTGTATACAGTACTTGTTCTACAGTGCTCTCTGGATCTGTACAAAGTTCATCCCGGCACTGCCTGATTTGTCTGAATGCAGTCGCCACCTCAATATCTGTGCCGCGGGACAGGAGAGTTTGGAGTAACTCCTGTGTGCTGGACAGTCGCACCTTCTTCAACTCAAGCCTCTCCTTCTCTGCATACTGCTGCTTCTCCTCCTGCCTACACATAGCCTCAACCTTTTCCTTGCATGTCTCCCCAAGTTTCTTAAGAAACGTGACAAGATGGCTGACCTGCTCGTCAACAAGCTGTGCAGCTTTTTCGCTTCTAGCTTGGATGTCCACGATTGATTTATCTACAGCCTGTATTGCATATTCGGTGCTGCCCAAAGCTTGTTGTAGTTCTGTGACCATGGCCTGGCAGGAGGATCTCAGTTCGTTCCCTACTTCTGTGAGATTCACAACGTTGTGTTCGGGTTTGGGGTGGTCTAGGACGATGCAGTCACGACATACTGGCACGCCGTCTGTTCTACAGTAGAACCGCATCTTTTCCCCGGCGTGGGTGCCACAAGTCGGCTCGATCTTCTCCGTTTGTCCGTCATATTTTCCTGTCCGCAGTTCGTCAAGCGTCACGACAAGGTGACCTTTGAACACCCTCAGAGTCCTGTGGATAGCCACGCACGATTCACAGAGAAAGTCGTTACACGTTAAACACCTTGATACGACAGCTTCCGTGCCGCCACAGCTGTCACATGGTAGCCTATCCACGGAGTGCTGGACTTTCTTTCGCGCCCCGATCGTCTCCACTAGGTTGAGAATGAAAAAATTGTCCTTTAGTCCTGAGACGCCGCCATCTTGTTTCATCGCTGTGTCACGCTGACAGGTAGGGCACTTTACCACTGTCTCACCTTCCTTCAAGTACTCCTTCAGACATTCCTCGCAGAAGGAGTGCACACAGTCGAGAATCTTCGGCCTCCTGAAGGTCTCCAGACAGATCTGACACGTCAGGAAGTCGTCACTGATCTCCTTGATCAAAGCGGACGCCATGTTTGAATTTGACCGTGCGAAACAGGAACGTTAACCACGCCCACAGAGGTCATACGTAATGTTCACGCACTAAATTGTGTTAACTTAGACTATACCACTTACTGTTTGTGTTGCAAGAGAAAAACATTGTGGACATTGTTTAAGTAAATGCTTTATTCTTTTCTGACTGCCAAGGTAAGGTCTATTGAAGCCATTTCTTGTATGCTGTGCACTTCATAGAATTTACCGCTTTCCGTGCACACATGGGGTCTGCCTATTTACCAGAATACACCGGAAACACATATAGGAGGCTTAGATCTACCGGAATACACGCACCCTGCATTATAACGTTCCACTAGCACTGGTGATGTCCACCCCTAAAATTATTAGCCTCCACCAGGCCTTTCTACGGGAATACGGATCGTATAATTCGGCAAAAAAGAGAGTAAAATTGGCCAGGGGAGTCCAGCCGCGGGGAGGTAGTTTCTTTCCCTCCGACTGCGCGGCCTGTCAAACCTCCAAGGCGGCCAAACTCCCCTGCCAATTATTCTCCTATATATAGCCAGCGTAGTTAGTCTGGTAGAGACTATAAAATTATTATAGGGTGTATGTACTTCACACTATATAATAACAGAGACGTCGGGCCGCTGTCTGTTTGCGCCTTCTTCAGGTCAATCACCTGCCAACCTTGGGACAAGGTCATGCGATGTTATCAAACAATGGCGTCCGTGTTTTGTGTTTGTATCTCACTGCACTCTTAAGGTATTATCTCTATCAAACATTCAGAAACCTCCCCCGAACACCAGTCACCCATGGTCGTCTGAAGTTAGGGAGAAGTCTGACGAATCGAATCGAATTTGAGTTGAATTTGCGTCAAACTGCAAACCACGCCCTGACCTACCCCTGAGGATAAGCCAACTATGGCAAAACCTCCATTCTACTTATACACTCGCATGTTCTAAACACTTTGAAACATTCGGCTGGCGTACCCGAACAGTGCCGACCACAGCCGACATTGCTCCCGACCTACTCCAGAAAATGTGTTCGGGGGCCATATATTCCGCTATGTGTTGATGTAGTTTTTTCGTTGTAGGACATGTTCACGACTATCACAAAAATACATGTAGATTGATCGTAAGACGTACATGTATGTGACAAGGGTCTAAATGTGTCACTTGTAAGTCGTGTGGATGTCAGTACAATTCTGAAATGCTGAGGTCACATTTCCAAACCGGGGCCCGGCCGGGCAGTCTTATGGAACGAAAAGTATGATATACAAGTCAAACAACAAAGCAGAAAAATGCTGAAAAAAATAATAATGGGTGTTATTTGTGTCAAGGAGGTTTAAAGTCATTTTCAAATTGTAGTTAACCTTGTTGTTTGTGTAGATTATTGATATAAATTGTTAATTTTTCGTTAATCGAAACAGTCCGGTCGGGAAATGTGACCTCAGCATGAGTTTGCCTGTACTTAACTTTACAAATTTTAAATTTCCCTCCGAACATTCTTGCCCGGTCGCGTCCTTGAGGCTGCAAGTCACCATAGTGCACTGTGTCTTCACCGGAAACAAGAAGCGTTGATATCACGTAATATCATAGCCGCAGGGGAGGGAGTGGGGGTACAGTACATGTACACCGTCCTGTGGCCTAGTAGAATCCGGCAGGAAGTTGAAAATGTTATGGCCTAATGCCCCTCCAGCCCCAATTAAACAAGCTTACCGCGAGATTTTGCTAGCGGCGTTAGGTCGGGTCTCCGGAAACATCATTTTTCTTTGGCCTTTGGCCACACCGTCTTAATTTTATGGATGGCATCCTCTGAAGACCCCCAAACTAGTGCGCGCGGGCGAATAAAATAAAAATCCGGCCCAAAATAAAAATGCTACTAAACCACAGGAATGCAAAGGCAAAGCTGGTATTGTGAATTTGCGGCAGAACATATACGGCAAGTTGGCACATGCTGGCTTTTTTCGTAATTTATCTGCGTATGTACTAAGGTTTTGAGTCGCTTCGGCAGCCTGGATGCCATCCTCAAGAGTTACCACTGGCTCCGTATTGTCGCTATATAGCAAACTACCATGGACAACCCAGGCCTAGAGCCAGGCCAAAGTCTCGGATGACGTGATTTTTTTTTTTTTGAGAACAGGCGAAAATCAATGCGCGCGCGGATGTCATCCATAAATTAAATCGGTGTGGCCCTGTTAGCGAGCCAAGGGCATTTGCCTGTACATTATCGTAGAAACAGACAGGAAGACGTGTTAAGTGGAGTCATTCACCTTAATTATCAGCGATCAATTAGCATAAATTATATCTCTTAAGGTCACCTCTGGAACCCAGGTTGTTGTTGATATGTTTACGTGATGAGTTTTAAGTTGTTACCCTTGCAACGAAAGTATGACAATCCCAGCCATGGACGACTCTGGTAATCCTTTTTGCACGGCTAGACAATCCATATTCAACAAATGAGAAAATTATTGTTAATATGCTTGATACTTCAGGTACGGAAATAGGTTTTGGAAGGCAGACTTGAAACTTGCAAGTTTGTGTGTTTCATAACGAAGTAGCTACGGTTGCATGGAGGGTGGGATTTGATTTTGACAGTTGATTGATAGGGAGGTAAGGACCCTTGCATATCTTACTCACATGAAACAGTAATACCTTGATCACCATTCAACACTGTGAGGACGTAAATTTAGTGTCAGCTATAAACTATGGGAAACAAGCCAATAGTCTAGCAGTCAAACACACATTAAATGCCTTTACATGTGTGTAATATAGCCCCATTAAGGCCACGAAAATTTATTTCCTACTAGTAGTTTCTCAGACATTTTGCAATAAAAATACAAAACATACATGTACAGCAAACTGATATAATAAAGGCAGAGGACAGGAAAAGTTGAGTGACTGTCTTCACTCAATAAAACTGAGTGCACTGTGGCATAAACCTGGACTTTGTTTTTGTTAAAGTTTTTTTTCTTAAATCCAATAACCAACAAATTAAACTAAAGAATGCAATTCAAAATCACATATCAGAAACACATTAATTTTATATTACAGGAGAAGTACATTTTTTTAGTAAATGTTCTTTTTAATAGCTTGTCAAGTCTATGATGTAACTTAACACGTCAGCAGAATGTACTGCGCTTGCATGAAACCTGGATTAGGCCACACCAATTTAATTTCTTGGTTAACAGATTTTTCTAGAAAAATAATGGAGCGGGCGGGCGAAAAAAAAATAAAATAAAAACAGGCCTAGGCATCCTATTATGGCCCAAAATGGTACAATAAGGAGCCATGAAGTCAACGCACCAGACTGTTTCAAAATTTAAACAATGAATTTTGGAACTTTTAATGATACCACTGCATTGAAAGATAGAATAACTGTAACAACTAGGAGGAAAAGGACTGTTTTCAACTGTTCAGGGCAAATTATGAGCATTTTGCAGTTGATTCTGAATTTTTATTTTTATTTGCAAATCAGCAAAAAATGAAGCGGGCGAATCCGTTAACCAAGAAATTAAATTATTGGTGTGGCCTTATTTGCAGTTTTCCTTGGATGTTTGCAGTTTCATCAGAATTGTACACATTGCAGACAATCTTTTCCTGGACAACATTAGAAAACTATAGATGGAATGCCATACATAAATACGTGAATAAGACCTTAAACAAGACCTTTTACCAAAGTGCTATGCACAATACATTACGGGTTTTGTACAAGCGCAGTACATTCTGTCAATGTGATTTAAACATTGTATATATTATAGAGCTTATTCATTTCTACAACGTTTGTCATTATGAAGATAGTTTAAACTGTAATTTCCAAAACAAGAAATTGGAATAACCCAAAGTTTCGACTGTACAACTCTAGTCTACAACTCTGTCAAGAAGTGAGCAATCCAAGGCTTTTGTGACATCATGTTATGCAGATGATATACGTGATTTGGTGAGCAGTGGATCGTAGCATATAGCATAGAATAGCATAGAATATGAACCAGATTTTGGCATGAGATACTGTAATTCCCAATTTTTTCACTGTACTGTTATGTTCCTAAGTTCTACCAACCTGATGAAATTATTTTCAGATGTTATGTTCACTGTTTTCACTGTTATTTCTGTACCGTGAACTTATCATTACAGTTAACAAATAATTCCTGGACTTTCTTTTCCTGCACCTGTCGCCACCATGAATATAATAGTTCTGTGAACATGTCCATTTTTCTCAGACAGTGAACTTTTTCTACAGTGAACATAAATGAATTACAGTATTAAGTAGGCCATCTACATCAGGGCATTACAACCGTACCTCAAAAAAGACGGGGGGCGCCACAGACTTTCTGCAACATACACATGTATGGTCGTTATAACGTGACTTCACTGAAGCGGTAAATTGCTCATATCTGTAAGAAGACTTGAGTTGCATTGTACATTCAACAATTTTGGTACTTAGGCCACACCAATTTAATTTGTTGTTTCTCGGATTCGCCCTGTCCTGTTCATTTGCAAAAAAAAAAAATTTTTTGGTTCTAAATTACATGTAACTGCAAAATGCTTAATGAAAGACATATTTTGTTTGTTTGTTTGTTTCGCATAACCGGTAAACCGCCTTCAGGCGTAACACACCAGTTTTGCACATGTGCGTACATGTACAAGCTGCGTAAGACCGGACTGTAAGTTTTGAACCACTCACACGGGGAAGATCCCTACTCTTTTCGATAAGTGCGGTGGGTTCTTTAACGTGCATGGGGTGTGGCTCTCCCAAACACGGGACCTCCATTTAACGTCCTATCCGAGGGACGTCCCTAACCGAAGCTAGGTACTCATTTTCACCTGAGTGAAGTGAGGAAAGTCGTGTAAAGTGCCTTTCCCAAGGGCACAAGATCGGTGACATGGGCAGGGTTCGAACCCACAACCTCTGGGGTGTGAGCCGAACGCGCTACCGACTGCGCCACACGACCCCAACTGGCCCAACTGTTGAAAAAAGTCCCTTTCTTCCAAGTTCCTAAGTTTTTCAATGTAACAGTGTAATTTTGTTTCATTAAAAGTTCAAAATCTATTGTTTTAATTATAAACCAGCCTGGTATGTTCACTTCATGGCTCATATTGTAACATTTCCAACTATCATGGGGTGCCTTGGCCTGTTTTTTTTTTTCTATTTCGCCCTGCCGCTCCTGATTTTTTTCTGAAAAAATCTGAGAAACAACAAATTAAATTGGTGTGGCCTTAGCCCAATTTCTTCTGTTGGAAATTACAGTTTAAACTTGCTTCATGATGACTTCTACCAAGTTAACACTGATGAACTTTCAAGATGAGAACGGTTGTCTGGTTGTCTGTGATGTCACCAGCTGGTAATGTCGGCGTACTCTTTCAGCAGTCTCCCCGCGATGACCAGCCTCTGTACCTCGCTCGTTCCCTCGTAGATCTCCGTGATACGCGCGTCTCGATAGTACCGTTCCGCCGGCATGTCTGTCACGTAACCCATCCCTCCTAGTACCTGGATACACTACACACACAATGGCACAAGGTTAGTCTGGATACACTGAAACAAGATATGCTTTTTAAAACTAGAAAGGCTGACATTTGCTTACAAGCAAATACAACATATTTCAGTCCATCTTCTCCATATAAAAACAGACTGTTCCAAACTCCACCCTGTGCAGAAAAGAAGACTAATTTCCAACATAACTTCTGCCAAAAAGTGAACTACAGTTTTTTAAGCTATCCCTATCTGAATTAAGCTATCCCTTTCTGAAATGGAGCCTTCCCATAATTTGACACCAACTAAAAACACTGTTGCCACCCAACACAGCAAACCTATCTTGTTCAGAATGACCCTAGTCCAAAATGAAAATTTGATAAATGGAGAAGAAACATGAGGAAAAACAATATATTTCACACATACATAAGGTATGAAGTGAAATATAAAAAAGCAGTTGGGGGCCAAGATGGGAATAGCTGGTATTTAACATTGTGTATATCTTTTGTAATGTGTCGCTGGCAAAAAAGGTTGCACAACTTGAGTGCAGTGTCTTTGTCTTGTTAGTATATTGAATAAAAATTAGCACCCAACACCCAACAATGCAACAATGCTCAGCAAAAAAGGGCCTGCTTGACTTGCATTAAAACTAACACAAAGCTGACTTACCTGATGTGCACAGAATGTAGCAGCTTCAGATGCAGCAAGTTTGGCCATAGCAGCTTCCTACACAGTAAAGGGAAATGATATGGAATAAATAATTTAAGAATAAAGCACACCAGTACAGGGAGTCAAAGGCAAATTGCAAAACGAAGTTAAACATCTTCCAAAGCTACTTTTAACATACAGGTAGACAATTCACGTCTAAAAATTTCCTACATTTTAAAAAGCAAATCATGGGGTTCAGAATGGTTGCTGGTGGTCCTATGGGTGTTTTTGTATCTTTACCCAAGATTTTTGTCAATTTTGTGTATCAAGGTTGATGGATTGGCTTTAAAATGTTTTTGTCACATGCATGCCTCAAAGTTTGTGCAATTGATGGATAAAGGGGGCTGGCTATAGAGCCTTGACTTTGCATGTTTAATGGCTAAAACTACATGTACATGTACAGTGCCTTTAGTACGTATATACCTATGGAGCATTTCCTACATGTATATCAGTGAGGCAGGCAGTTGCTGGCTGCCATGCTGGTGTCCCAATTTACATTTCCCCTATGGCATGCAAAGCAATAACTAGGCCACCCAACCAACTAAATTTCCCAATACAAGTAACCTTCAAACATCTGACCTTGATATAGTTCTTGCCGGCGTCCTTGTACGCAGCAGCCTTCCATGTGAGCAGACGTGCACTCTCCACACTCATGTGCATGTCTGCCAGCTTGTTCTGTTTGTCAAAATTAAAACACATGTATAACAAGGAATTGGAGATTGCAGACTTCCACAAAGTTTTTCATGAAAGTATAGGAACTGTATTGCATAATCATGGGAAAGATTATAACGAGATTGAAATTAATCATAGTTGGATATCACATCATAAGGCCACACCAATTTAATTTCTTGGTTAACGGATTCGCCGCTTCCTTTTTTTCTGATTTGCAAATAAAAATAAAAATATAGAATCAACTGCAAAATGCTCATACTTTGCCCTGAACAGTTGAAAACAGACCTTTTCATCCTAGTTGTTACAGTTATTCCATCTTTCAATGCAATGGTATCATTAAAAGTTCTAAATTCATTGTTTAAATGTTGAACCAGCCTGGTGTGTTGACTTCATGGCTCCTATCGTACCATTTTGGGCCATAATAAGATGCCTAGGCCTGTTTTTATTTTATTTTTTTTTCACCCACCCGCTCCATTATTTTTCTAGAAAAATCCGTTAACCAAGAAATTAAATTGGTGTGGCCTAAGAATGTATGAGGTTCAGTGAAAGTTTAAACTGGTATAATGCCATGGTCTATGTTTCATACCATGATTTTACAATACACATTTCTTGTGACATCAAATCGCATTCTCCCTCCCACCAACATGTACATGTATTTGGTCACAACACTGTCAATCAAATGACGCCCAATCTCTGCCCACCCACTTCGAATTTCAATCCTTGTTTCTCAGGAATTAATACATACACAATCAGGTGCAAGCATGATTGCATTTTTAATGTTTGTGTAAAAAACTTATGAGTTAAATGTTTTTATCGATAGAACAGTTTACTGAATGTGATGACACATCCCCCCAACACAGTTGTAGCTTAGCAGGACAGCGTAGCGTACATTGTGTAAATGCATGACAATATTAATGTTATTAACTACATGTGAGAGAAATGTATTCTTCTTAAAGTGAAACTTACCTGGACTGTCTGTAGTTTGGCAATAGGAGACCCGAATGCCTCCCTCTTCATAGCATAGTCCACAGCCAGCTCTAGTGAGGCCTGGGCGATACCCAGACCCTGTGATGCAATACCAATCCTACCTGCATCTAGGGTTTGCTGTACAAAAACATGGGAGAAGGACACATGAAATTAATTTGTTGGCTATACAAGACAAGGCTCAAAATACTGAGTGCATGATAGTGCACCCAAATTTGGAGCTGTGCACTCACTTTTTCTCCGTGGGTGCACCAATACTAATGCACTCAAATACTTTCGTAGGTTTACGTAATACTATGTAAATATGTTAAATCAGATTCTATAGTAGTATACAGCATATTTGTAACATCTAAGTGTCAAATGATAAAATCATTGTTATATATTAATAGTACTTTTGTTCAGAAATGAAACATAATTAGTTTTTGCTGACATCATAGCTTACATAATGCACCCCCAAAAATTGTGCGGCCAATTTTTTATTGGTTGGGTGAACCAATGCACCTATTCCCAAAAATGAATTTTGCAAGTGAAATGCTAGATTGTAATACGTATTACTATACAGCATGTATGCATTAACATACAAACATACTCAGTCTGGTAGTTCTCGAACTTTGAGTTTGACCACTTGTTAAGCTTCTGGTAAGAATTTGGCCCAATAAATCACAAACAGCGAGAGATTTACAAAGACTAGGCCAACATTGGAAGCTAGAGGCTAATAAATTACTATATGTAAGGTAACATAAATCAGAGAAACTGAAAGATCACTCAAGGGTAGGGTGCTAGAACACTGTACCTTAACTACTTTGGAAGCTTCACAACCATACATACATATATTGCCTGGGCATTACGTCTCATTGCAAAGAGTAAGAATTTTTGACTTTTTTTGCACAAGGCCATCTACATCAACAAGACAGGGGGTGCCACAGACTTTCTGCTACAGTTACTGCTCATGTCATGCAATGAGTCACCTGTGTCATCTGCATAACGTGACGTAACAGAAGCGGCGAATTCCTCATTTCAATGACAAAGACTGGAGTTGTACAGCCGGAAAGACTGATTTCTTGAATTTGAATATCCAATTTATGGGATGTTAAGAGACACACCTCAAGCACGTTAAAGAACCCACGTGAGTGGAAGTGGAACAAACCATTATTATGGTCTAAAATGGGGTAGGGAATTTTCCCGACCAGCCTCGTAACCCCTGCTTCTCCTATGCCTATTGGGTCAGTTTGTCCTCACTACTTGTGAGAAATTGGGCTGGTCTCAATCATGATGTTTTTTAACTAAGGGAGAAGAGTTGCTGTTACAGTTCTATTCGGTAACCCGTAACCCAGGTGAGTGGTGATACCATTCAGGTGGTAATGCCATTCAGGTGATACCATTCAGGTGGTTAACCAACTTTGAAGTGGCCTAATGGCCGTGTTACGTGGCAACCACTAAGTAGAAAAAAAAATGTAAAAATATTATACATCAACGAAAATGGGGGAGGGGGGCACTATATAGACTTTCTGCAACCTATGCCCATTTCTTGACAAAGACAAAGTTTTTCAATCAAAAATTTTGTTAGAAATTAGTTTAAAGTTGTTTGATAATTACCATGGCGATTTTGAAGCCCATTCCTTCTTGTCCCAGCAGGTTTTCTCGAGGAATCTTACAGTCCTCGAAGATGAGGTACGCTGTGCTGGTGGCACGGATACCCAGTTTGTCCTCCTTCTTACCCAGAGTCAGTCCTTCTGTTGGCATGGGGACCAGGAACGCACTGATGCCCTACAGGGTACAGAAAGAGGTTATATCAAATACTGACAGGGTTCTGTACTAATATTTTTACCTAGGAGCAGCCAAAAATGTAATTTTGATTGATTTCCATAATTCCACCAGGTATATTCCACCACCACCACATTAACGGTGTCGAATGTAGCTTTAGGGATTTTTAGATCTATATTCACAGTAGGTTGTACAATTTTGATACCGTAGAATTCTTAAGCAGGTTGCGACACAGGGCTGAAAATACTGGGTGCATGTGCACCTTAGTGCACCCAAATTTGGAGCTGTGCACCCAATTTTTTGGCACACAAACATTTCTGTATGTTTACGTACATATGTAAAGATGTTAAATGTAGTCTACTAGTAATACCGCATATTGTTGACCTCTACATGTAATTGTCAGAAAAACAAGAAAATCATTGTTGTAGTACTAGTATTTTTCTTTATAAATGAAACATAATTAGTTTTTGCTAAAATTCTATATGGTGCACCTAAACAATTTTTGGTGCACCCAGTTTTTTAAGTTGGGTGCACCAGTGCACCTATTCCCAGAAATGAATTTTGAGCACTGTGACAGAACCAAAAACTGGGATCTAAGCCAGCCTTTTCTGTGACAAGACAGCTGACTTTTTTTAGCCTGGGTGCCATCCGATTTGTAACAGCATTTTTTTCGGGGTTGCCGTTACAAATCGGATGGCATCCAGGCTAGAATTTTGTAGGAAATACCCATAAGAATGCCCTCAGTATGCAATAATACAATGATCCTACTACATATATGTGACCGGGTCCTACCCTGTGTTTCAGCCCCTTGTCTGTTGTTGCAAACACAACTGTAGCCGATGCCTCGTAACTGTTGGTGATCCAGGCCTTGGTACCATTCAGGACCCAGTGGTCTCCCTCCAGTCTGGCTACTGTGGAGGCTGCACCTGCATCACTGCCGTTACCTAAAGGGTGAAACCATCAAATCACTTAACAGTTTTTAATCTACGTATTGTTATGATGTTTGTATGTTAATAATTGTAAAATGTCAATGCAATTCAGACGTGCCCGAAGCATTTCGGCACGTCTGCCATATTGATGTTTAATAAAGATTTGATTTGATTTGAAACATCACAACAAAATCTTTACAAAAACTTCACAATACTTTATAAATTCTGGGGATTAGTTATTTTGTAGAAAGTGATTTTGGAATAGCCCACTTTTGCACAGGAAGGGAGATGGAGTGACATATGCTGTATTTGCTCCTGAGCAAATTATGACCAGGCAGAGGTCTTTGAATGGTGGTCTAAATGAGCTACCAGGCTCACTCAGAGCAAAGCAGTATACAGAAAAGAGCCTGAATGATAGAACCAAATGATACACTGGGTTTACCCAGACGAAGTAAAGCAAGTACTACAGTAACTGTAACAGTATTACAGACACTTGTGAATAGAGCTGTGTGCCTAAACAAGTTTTAGCTACAGGTACAGGTACACGGGTTTAGCTACAGGTCCAGACCTGAACCTTTACCTGAACAATTCAACAAAATAACATGCTCTTCAGTCTGAACTCCTTCAATAACAAGAAAAACATTAATAGACTTGACAGTTGGGTTTAGTTTTTCTTTACGGAGAATGCTCAGACAAAATATGGGCAAAACTAAGATGTTTTTGTTTTCATGAACACACTGTCCTTACACTGAGACCTATGCATGGGGGACCAGCTATTTACACATTTTGAGGTCACAGATAGGCATAAAATTGGTGTGAAATTGTTAAGGTACAGTACCAGTACTGAGGGATTAGGTATTTTGGACCTGTACCTAATTTTTTCCGGTACAGTATCGGTACTGCATATCGGTACACAGCCCTACTGTCTTCAGTATTACAGACTGATCTTGAATGATTGAGCCAAATAAGTTACCAGGTTCACTCAGGGCAAAGCAGCCCACTTTGCTGCCGTCAAGGAAGTCTTTATGCATGAAGGTCTCCTGCTGCAGTTCTGTGGACCAGTTTTTCACAGGACCCAGGTAAAGGGACTGTGGAGAAACAGAATGAAACATTGGTGAGCAACTAATATCAATGCAACAGCCATAACTTAAAGGCATCCAATGCAATTCTAGGGTGGCAAAACAGAAAAATATTCTACATGTACATCGTAGATGAGGAAAGCGTCTCATAGTTTTGTGATCATTTCATACTTAAAACAAATAAATAAGCTATGTGAGGAGTCCTTTTATTTTATGGTACCACCAAAAAATAGCTACAACCAGCCTACAGTCAAACCCCAATAGCAGCTGACATAGTAGTAGTGAAATAAGGTCACACTGACTTAATAAAAAAAAAAAAGGTCATACTAGTACTATGAGGCTCTCTGGCCCTAGGCCTGGGTACTCCATGCTAGTTAGTGACAATACGGAGCCTGTGGTAACTATGGAGGACGGCACCCAGGCTACCGAAGCTCCACGACTCAAGAGCTCAGTACATACGTGCAGTGCCGATTCATAAATCCTGCAAAAAGCCGGCTTGCCGTATACGGCGCTACCCCGGTATATACTGCCACAAATTCACAATACAAGCTTTGCATTCCTATGGTTTAATAGCATTTTTTTTTGCCCGAATTTTTTTATTCGTCCACATGCACTAGTTTGGGGGTTTTCAGAGGATGTCATCCATAAAATTAAGTCAGTGTGGCCTAATATACAATAAATATACAATTATACAATGTATAAGTTGATCAGACAGTAGTTGTATATTCTTTCAGTCTGTATCAGTAGTGCTTCCATTTCTTAGCACATTTTCATCATCATTTCATAACTGAACTAGAGTTCCCCGATCTCATACCTTCGCCAAATGATGTTACTCTTTATGACTGACAAAGATGATTCCTCCTGATTATGCAAATAGGATCCTTTCTATCATTTCCTCATAAATTATGCAAATGAGGTCCTTATTTGAATAAGTTATGTTTAATGATGTTCACCTTCACTTAACTTTCAAATACCCCAATTCGCCAAGTATGAAATTCCAGGCAGTTAGCATTATGGAATTATAACATTTTCTCATTAATTATGCAAATTAGGTGTTAATTTACATAATCAATGTCTGCCTGTGTTTCTCTCGTTCTCAATTACATATGTCACAAGCTTGAATAGTCCTATAATGTAATGCAGCTGATTTATAGAATTTCACCATTAACTATGCAAATTAGATCCAGATTTGCATAATTGTCGCATATTTATGTCAAACGTCACTTGAGCTTACTACATACCAAAAATCACGACGATCCGTCCACCGGTTCTTGAGTTATCCTCTTTTGAATATTTTCAAACAGATAGCCCTGCAGTTCCTGAGCACTTTCAAACAGCCTAGAAATAAGCTACATGTATGTGAGGAGTCCATGTATTACATAGTACCACCAAAAAATATCTGCAACTGTTTTCTGTATTTTGACTTCTTTGACCCAGTACATGCAAGTAGCCTTAGGCAATGATTTTGCAGATAAAGAATTATCTCCTAATACTTACATTGTTAACACTCATGATACAGCCTGTAGAGGCACACCCCCTACTGATTTCCTCCAGCGCTACAGCGTAGGCCAGGTAGTCCAGACCTGTACCTCCCTTAGTCTCTGACACGTCAATCGCCATCAGTCCTAACTCTCCCATCATCTTTATCTGTGGAGAAAATATGTGTCAATCTCCAGGTTGATGCAAGGCTCAAAATACTATGGGTGCATGTAACACGTCGGCAGAACGTACTGCACCTGCGCGAAACCCGTAATGTTTTGTGCATAGCACTTTTGCAGAATGTCTCATATAAGGTTGTATTCGCTCATATAAGGTTACCATTTCGACAGTAGTTTTCATATGTTGTGTCAGAAAGACTATCCTCTGCAACAGGCAAAATTCTGATGCAACGTTGACCAAAAACCCAACTAAAAACACAAAAATACGGGGTTCTGCGCAGGCGCAGTACGTTCTGCCGACGTGCTGGTGCATGTGCACCTTAGTGCACCCAAATTTGGAACTGTGCACCCAATTTTTCTCTGTGGACCAGTGCACCCAAATATTTTTGTAGGTATTTTTGTACATATCATTATGTATGATAGTATACAGGACATTCTTGGCATCTATGTGTCACAAATGTCATAAAACCTAAGTTTGTTGTTATGTAGCTCCCATTTTAGATTCAAGCTCAGAAGAGGAGCAGTAAGATCTGTAATTAAGTTTTGTTTTATAATATGGTGCACCCCAAAATTTTTCTGTGCACCTAATTTTTTTGTTGGGTGCAACAGTGCACCTGTTCCCAAAAATTAACATATAATTAGTGTGAAATTAATTAGGTACAGTACCAGTACTAAGGGATTAGGTATTTTGGACCTATTCACCAATTTCACACTTCCCATAATGCATAGTAAAAGTCACGGATATGACGTAAGACCATCCCCCTCCCCCTTCCTCGATGTAATATTTCCAACAAATTCTATCGACAAACTGGTCAACTATTGTTTTGAATTATTTATCTAGTATAAAGCACATGCCATAATTGCATTTTTGTTGGAATTACAGAAAATGATGTACCTTCTATCGTTCCACCTTCTACCAAAGACTGACTCCTACTCGCACGGTCGCATTACCGAGTAGGAGAGTCTTCGGTAGAAGGTACGTCATGATCATTTTCTCTAATTCCAACAAAAACGCAATTATGGCATGTGCTTTATACTAGATAGATAATTCAAAACAATAGTTGACCAGTTTGTCGATAGAATTTGTTGGAAATATTACATTGAGGAAGGGGGAGGGGGGATGGTCTTACGTCATATCCGTGATCTTTACTAGGCATTATGGGAAGTGTGAAATTGGTGAATTATAGTACATGTAAGTGTGATTGTTGACCTGTTCTGTAGGGAATCTGTGCTCCCTGTCCAGGTCTCCTGCGATCGGCTTCAGCTCGTTGTCAGCGAAGTCCCGACATGTTTTCCTCAGCATGTCATGTGTCTCTGGCAGGTCGGCAAGACTGGCTACTCCACGGCTCCATCCTGGATACAATGTTAACATTATAACAATGTTGAAATACTTCTGCACAGACTTCTACGGTCTGCAAGCCCTTTTCCGTAGAGCGTAATCGGCCGTTATACTTCTACGTAGAGCGTAGACGGACCGCTCTATAATATTTTTGCGTAGAGCGTATTCGGCTTTTTAATTCTACGTAATGCGCTGTAGCCACTTGGAATTTATCGTAAAGCGTAATCGAGAGGTTTCCGAGTTTAGCGTAGAGCGTTGTCGGCAGGCTTTTAGCTACGATTTTTTAATTGTGTGCTATGCACACTCCAGTCCCGTGGTGAGCGGCACAATTACAAGCTTTTTAGGGGGCCTTTTGAAATTCGTAATGCTCTCAAACACTACTTCTTGCATTTTGAGGTGCACATTTTGAGGAATACAGACTGCAGCCAAGTTTTTCCTTTGTTACAACATCAGTTTTGTATATATAGTAAGGCTGAAGGGAGGCATGTGTGCATGGCAGGGGTCGGGAGTGGAAAAAATAGGGTGTCTTAAGGGTGTCCTACCAAAAAAGTAGGGTGTCCAAATTCTTGTTATTTTCAGTACAGGGCGTCCAAAAGACACCCAAGACACCCCCTAGCTAAAAGCCTGGTTGTCGGGACCCCCCCCCCTTGCAGGCCCCCTTCTTCTTGTTGCTATGACTCACTACGAGTAGCTAGAGTGGCGGTTTCTTTGTATCCATGGAGAGAGCCAGTGTTCTCGCCAGGCCTTTTTAGCATAGGGGCCTCTATGCTGTGATTGGGCCCCCTTTCCTGTTCTCTGGACCCCTATGCTGTCTTTCAACTGGTATATAGGGGTATTTTTGGAGGAGAACCTTCATAAATCTTGCAAAAAAAAAACTTTAGAATTAAGCTATAGCAAAGGGTAAGCCTTAACTTCACAAAATCTGTCCCTCAATAGAAATAGTGTCTCAGGGGGTTATATGTTTCCAATTCGGCTCAATGCTGTGATTTCTTATCTTAAAAAATTAACAGTGCAAGCTAATGCATGGATAAGGCCGCTCGACAAATGTTTCTATATATAAGAGACTCGACAAATGTTTCTATACATAAGACTTCACTCCGATTTCTAAAAAAAATATCAGAACTTTGTCAACTTTGTACCCTCAACTTCAGAGGGGGAGGGGGGCGCACAGTTAGACGTTACATAATATCGACCTTTGCGATCAGTATGACTGGAGAAATGTCCCCTATACTGGATTAAAGCCTCCCTGCTGTCATGAGGTCCCAGAAAATTCTATTCTGCCCACTAAAACTGTCCAGAGTAAAGCACGGTACCTCTGTTTGTCCTGGCAAGCCGGCTGACAACCCGTATTAGCGCCGCCATCTTGGAGCTAACCTTACGAAAGGGCACAACCTTTGAACTGTTTGCAGTTCACGAATTTTCCACTAGAGGCGCTCGTACGTTGTGAATGGGTGACAACATGCAACACCGATCTTTTCACTGAGGCATATTTTAAACTACACAGATATTAGATCATATTACGATTTCAGGGATATCGCGGCCAAAACATACCATATACAAAGTCACGTTTCCGACGATTTACTGCGCACTTACAGATTTAAACTCCGACCCGGAACCTTTAGTTGAAAACGGACACTGAAACCAGAACTTCCATGTTTCGTTTCCGTCACTCTTCCATCCTTTTAGTCTTTCTTTTGCTAGATTTCCCTTATTCAGAGACACTATGAGGAAGTACCTACTGCCTTCGGCTGTGTTTTTCGTTGCTGTGCTTGTGTATGCTGAACAAAAACAAGGCACAAACGTCGCTGGGTCAAAAGTTAAAGATGACCACTTCGATTTTATGGTGTTCACCCAACAGTGGCCGGAGACTTTCCGACTGCAGACTGGACCAGAGGTTCAGATCCCCGAGAATGTCACAGGATGGACAATCCACGGTATCTGGCCTCAACAGGTGGGGGTGACAGAGAGAATGAAACTACGTGTAACATTATGAATAGAAATATAACTAGACTAGAGAGGCCGACATTTGCTTGAGAGCAAATACAGCATATTTCAGTCCATCTCCCTCCCACGCAAAAGTGGACTATTCCAAACTTACGCCAGTGTAAAACTGGCAAAGATTCTCAAATAAATGAATTATATAGTAGCTATATGTAATTGAGAACAAAGATGCAAGAACAAGCACATTGAATCTCGAAAGCTTTACTAGTCTTATTACAGGTATGCAAATACTAACAATGATTAGATTTGATACATTTTGAAGGTCATAGGCACATAAAATTGAATGTGTGGGTCATTCCGCACGACTTACGTGCAACGTGACCTCAGGTAACCCGCAATGGAACACGTGTTCCATGGCCAACGGCAGATGGAACAGGTCATTCTTAAGATAGAACATGGAACGGGTATAGCACTTTTGGCCCTTTTTTGCTGAAAATAGCCATTAAAGTCCCCCAAATTAGTCATTTGGAAGTGCTGTATGCCAAATATATGACTGCTATTCTGTAGACACATGTTCAAGGTACCCTTATACCGAATTTCAGATCATTTGGTTGTAAAACCAGGGCTCAGGATCCAAAAATCCATTTTTTTTGGCGAAAAATGCCCCAAAAAACCTTCATAAAAATTTTTCAAAGGCATATATCAAAAAAATGAAAAAACGCCTGGGGGTATTGGCTCATAGCCTGGGTACCATCCTACTTGTATGCCGGGGCTCCCACACTCGCTTCCCTAAGAAGTACTTCTCAGGGAAGCGAGTGTGGGAGCCCCGGCATACAAGTAGGATGGTACCCAGGCTAATTGGCTCACTCTACCTCCATGCCAAATTTCAAGTCATTTGGCTGAATGATGGCGGAGTTGAATCACTTTGACTGTGTGGCAGGAGGAGAAGGAGGAGAAGGAGAAGAAACATGAGAGAACACAATATATTTCATCCATACCATGGTATGGACTGAAATATAAAAAGTAACATTTGCAAAGCAAAGGCATAATGTTTACCTTCGGATATGGTTTGCTCTGTTAATTCTTACTCAAACACATTCACATACATGTACTGTTATATGGTGACAGGAGTATAAATGCCTACTATGAAATTGCAACATTATGTAACTCAACACCAGTCACTATGGAGACAGACGTCAACAAAAGAGGCCATTTGGCCAGGTCAGAGGTTAGTGTTTGGAACAGAAGAAGAAGAAATGGAGTAAAAACAACATGTTTTCCTTTGGTAAACATAATTTACATGTTGCTAACGTTACTTTTTGGATTGAATTTGGATTTTAAGGAAGTGGTTTATCACGGACATTAAGGTTTATCAAAGACAAATCATTGGGTGGAAAATATGATCAACTCATAATTTATACTTCCTGCAAATGACAGTGTTAGAAATACAACTGCAACTGCGTTTTGCAGTCTGAGACATTTTCAATATTGCAGAAGAAAAATTAAGCAACCTGCAATTTTGTAGACTAAAAAAAACTACATGCTAGTGGTTCAATGGTGTTTAAGAGCTTTTGTGTTTACTACTGACTCTATAATATACAAGCGATTTTCATTAATTTAAAAGTTTTCAAATTGCGCGTAAAATGTTTGCCAACATGCAATTTTCTATATGCCAGATCTGGACTTTTAATTGTGTATTTGCAGAAAATATTTCCAAATTGCAGAACAAAAGTTTGACATTCTGCAGTATTGCAGAACACTGAAAAAAACGTTACTGTTCCCCTGCAAATGCTAATGGCAAATGAGGATCTTATTTATGTTATTAATGTGAAACATTTATAATTCATCAGTCGTAAAGGAGTATTTAATCATTTGTAGTATTTTATCATATATCATAGTTACAACAATTTCTCCATCCTTTCGTCATTTAGAAGATCACCAAAAAACTGCAGTTCTACTAAGATCACAAAACCCACTAATTATGAAGAATGTGGGACTATTCATTATCCACTGCCTTCAAAGAAGAAGTCGAACCCCATAATAGCTAGCGTAGTAGAAGTAGAGGTTTCCCAGACAGTTGTTACCTGTCTCCTGTTGATACTTGATTGTAAAAGCAATTAGCCTTCGGGCATGATTTTGCGAATAAAGTTATTTTTTTATATCAACCAGAAATCTACGTTGTCTGGTTTACAGATGAAAAAAGACGCACCCAACTTCTGTAACAGCTCGTGGCACTTCAACCAAAGCCTGATCGAAGACCTGAGGCCACAGATGAGCCTCTACTGGCCCAACTTGATAAAGACTAACAACCTGTGGGACCACGAGTGGACCAAACACGGCACATGTGGAGCCTCGCTGCCTGCAATACACGGGGAACACAACTACTTTGCTGAGGGACTCAGGCTCAATGCAAAGTACAACATCACAGAGATGCTAGCCAGCAATCACATTGTGCCAGATGCCGAAAAGGCGTATTCCTACAAGTAGGTCTTTAGGTTTTTATAATCTATTGGAGAGAGAGAAAGATACCAGTTAATGATAAAAAGGTGGGGTCGTGTGGTATAATGGCAGAGCGTTCGACTCAGAACCAAGAGGTCCCGGGTTCAATCCCTGCCATGTCACCGATCTTGTGCCCTTGGGAAAGGCAATTTACACGACTTTCCTGGATGGAGGCCTGGCGAACCCTACCTCGTAGTAGCCACAAAAAAGGCAGCAGAATCTTCCGCTAGTTCAAGGCAGCAGCCTCAAAATGAAAGAGGGAAGAAGAAAACCATGGGTTCAGTTTCTATTGGAGTATTGGGTTGGTGAAATATTCTCTCATAGATGATTCAAACACTAAATTTTCTGAAACCCTAAGAAATATCTTTTTGGTTATACTAGTATGTATATTTGAAACTGTGAATTTTCAAATACACTGTCACATGTTTCCATGATGGTTTGATATGTCAGTGAATGATAAAAAAGACACTGGCTGCAAAACAAGACAAGCTCCCCTCACCTAATGTTGAATCAAGGAGGGTGGTTGACTATGGCTTACACTAAAACGTTCCTAATTCACAATTATTCCTCAGCGATGTCGAGGGAGCCATCAGGAAGAATGTGAACAACATGTCGTTCGTTATGCAGTGTTACTGGGACAAAGAGGCACACAAACAATACATCTTTCAGGTAATGATTCATTTATATCCTCCTGTGTGTTAAACAGATGGGTCTGCAAACAGGTTCATCAGGTTTGGGGGGAATCATTTGACTTCTCATCATAGAACTACAAAAATTTGTTGCGGGGTCGTGTGGCGCAGTCGGTAGCGCGTTCGGCTCACACCCCAGAGGTCGGGAGTTCGAACCCAACCTTGTCGCCGATCTTGTGCCCTTGGGAAAGGCACTTTACACGACTTTCCTCACTTCACTCAGGTGTAAATGAGTACCTAGCTTCGGTTAGGGACGTCCCTAGGATAGGACGTAAACTGGAGGTCCCGTGTTTGGGGAGAGCCACACCTCGAGCACGTTAAAGATCCCACCACACCTTTCGAAAAAGAGTAGGGGCATGCCTACGATGGTGCGATGGTACAAACACTACTGTATGGAGTTGGTGATTCACTTCAAATCACCCGGATGGAGGCCTGGCGACCTCCGTCTTGTATAAGCCACATGGTGATTTACATCATTCACCCGGACGGAGGCCTGGCGAACCCCGTCTGTACCAGCCAAAATCTTGGAGAGGAGATAGGCGCCGCCAAGATTATAAGCCTACTGAAACATCATGGCGCAAGTCCAGACATGCTGCTGGCTGCCATAATGCCCCTACGACCGCTCACGGTTATGGGACTTACATACATACATAGAACTTCTATTTGGGCTGTGAGTGTGAATCTACAAAGATGCATGTTCAGGCACTACGAATTTAAGTACAGCCATTAAGGCCTTAACACATACAAAGTGTTCTCACAATGTTCCAGCAAACTGTCAGCCATTCATGTACATGTACATCATTACCCTGATGTAGGCAGCTGACGTTTTGTCAAAAACATTGACAGCCGGGAAAAATTTGTTTGCATGGAAAAAACATCATGATATATACCTCGAGATCCTTACAGATCATCCCAGATACAAAAAGATGCCCCTTTTGAAAAATTCACTTGAGTTGAAGTCTGTCATTATACAATTATATGTATAACAAATGCACACAATGCCAAGGAGGTTTCAACCAAATTGATAACAGAAATATCTCTCTTTGTCCCAGGTGATGCTGTGCTTGGATAAACAGTTTGGCCTGCTCGAGTGTGACAAGTATTTTTTGAGTGAGGGTGACCTGTGTTGGACTACTAAGACTATCCAGTACCCACCCTTCCAATATGCCTTCAACTAAAGCTGCACAATCTTCATTTTATGATTGGCATGTTCAGGAAACTGCTAGCATCAGTTAGTTTGAAATTTTGAAAGTAATTTGGCCCTGAAACCACGCAAAATCATTGACAATCAATATACTGATCCCAAAGCTATGCCCACCTGTTAAAATGTACAAATGCAAATATTTGACAGACTCACACACAAAAAAACATATTGTAACTTACACTACAACGACTACAACGCAAACCTGTCTATATTAGCAACCGCTAATACTACTATCTAGTTGTTTTGCCTTTTACTTTGATGCAGTGATGTATTTCATTCCTTTTATATCGATGTTCCCACTGAATCAAAACCATTTGTACAATGATTGAAAACTTCAGTATTTTTCAGTGAGAAATGGAGGTTGTAATAGTTGGCGGTAAACTTAACACAAGATTATATAGGTATCATTTCTTGTTTGACAAGGTTTATGATCATCAAATTATGAAAGTGTATGAATCTTGTTTTTTCGCCAGCCTTTTATCCCTTTTGGTTGGTTGGGAGGCACGGATTGCGACGGAAATATACTTAGTCTAGCATTATAATGTACATTAACTCAATTTAGAATCAGCACATGCCCGTAGTCGAGGGGGGGGGGGGGTCGGGGGCTCAAAGGTCCACTTTTTGGTCCACTTTTTATGTAAAGAACCACTTTTTGGTCCACTTTTTATGTAAAGGTCCAAGATTTTTCTAGAAAAGATGGACTGGAATCGTAGAATTAAAACTGCTCCCTTGGCATTGAATAAAAAGTTATCACTGATTTTTTTCTTCGAAATCCTCTCAAAAATGCGCGAAAAGCCATTTTAGAAGGTTCATTTTTCAAAAATTCCCATTACCAAAATAGGTAGATATTACAATGTAGCCCCTGACCAAATATTTGCCCATTTTGTCCAAAGCATATTGAAGATAAAGTTCACTTTGTTATGGAATGCACTAGATATGATGTTATACTTGATAAGCTATTTACATTCTCGAATTAAGTACAATAGATTTCAAGAGTCTCGATGCTAGAGACAGATTTGAATATATCTTTATATGCAATGATTCTCACAATGCAAAATAAAATAGGTAAACATATAATTATAACGACTGCTTTGTTATTATAAAAAAAAAACGAAACTCGTGATTACCCCACTCGATTGTAACACTCTATCAAAGACTTGTGCTAGCCCTTATTGTTGGAGTGATTAGGATACATTAGATTTTCTTGTTACCTCCGGGGAAGGAGACATCCTTCCGCGGAAGGGTTTTGTAGGAGATTTAGATTTTCATGTTCGCAGCTGTTTCTCGCGTTTGGGTGGACGGATTCTTTTGGTACTCGGCATATGTTTTGCTATTGGGCTGTAGATGATGCACGTTCTTTTGTTTTTATTGTATATATGTTTTCGGGCGTGAAATGGTGCCTTTTGGTGGCCCCAGAACACCCCTTTGAGTGTGAAAATGGTCGCGACCGTTGACCTTTGGCGTGTATTAGGTATTTACGGTCTGGTCCATGAAGCTAACCCCTCGCACAGAGGGGTGTCTGGTCTTGATAAATTCTTTGTCAACATAACAAACAACATAAAATATACAATAAAAAGCCCGGAGGTATAAAATCTCAGATTTCACGGCGGTCGGTTGCTAGGCTAAAAGTCGCATTACTAGGGAGGTATCGGGTTACAGAACGTGTTCGAACGTGGCCGCGCGGGAGTCCCGGGCCGGCCCGGGGGTAACGGGTAAAATTTGAAAATAAACAAAAGTAATTGGAGAGTAAATACTCGTCAAAATAAAATGTAATAAGTGATTTTGTTTACCTCAAATGTTATTCTTGCACTGGCTTTGCTCCACTTTGTGTACATTTGCTTCCAAATGAGATTAATTGCGGATTTCAAAAAGGGTTCACGAGAACCAAACAACTGATTTTAAGAGGCCCCGAAAATTAAAAATAAGGTTAGATTTTTGGATTTTTAGAAATATTACAGTAAATTTAAACTTTCTGTCTTAGGATTTTTTTATTTTTGAACTAAAACTCGACTTACAGTCAAAAGAAGAGCTAAAAACGCAGTGTTTTAACTTTAAATACCGATAATTCATAATCGCGGCCATATTTAAAAAATCCCTAAGACAGAAATCTGCGGAAATCGTTCCTCTTCCAAACAAGCCCTCAATGAGGTAATTTGAGCGATTTTTGGGAATGGTTAAAATACCATGTTTGCACGCATGCTATGACACGTGGATATGGGGACCTGGATTTTATAACAGCGTCAACAAGAATTCTGACCTTCAAGGTCACCCAGGATGACGGCAGTAGCTTCGTTACATGTTACATATCCACAATAAAATCACGGCATAGATGTAATATTTTGAAAACGGTTCATATTTGTGGAAAGGTGGATTTTTCCTGTTCCGTGGTTCCCAAGTAAAAAAGGGCTTGAAGTAGCCGGTTGTAGCGGCTTTACTGTAAATGACCGCGGGTAACCCCGGATCGAACGCCCGCTCTATTCGAATGACGTCATATCGAACAAGATTCGCGGGTTCGGTGGATTCGATCTCCATAGTAGCGGAGTGGGACTTTTGGGCCCAAATCTGACCATCGTGTTTTCTTGTATTAGGTCTTATTCGATACATTTTTTTGTACTTTGCGATTTAATTAGCTAGCATTATATAAGGGGCATTACTCTAATCTGCAGCAACTGACGTAAGCGGGCGCCCCCTTGCAGGTGAAACGGGAACTTCAGCCAATGATGATACCTGGCGAAGAACCATCTGTACGAAATTTGAAAAAAAAAGTTTCCTTATCGGGCACATATTCACATATCTGTTTAAGAGAAACTTTTTGGGGGAGAAAGTTTCACTGGGTTTAAATTTGTAGTACTAGTGTGGCTGACCTTGAGCGTAACCAAGTCATGATCCGGCAGCTCGCTGCAAGCATCCCAACCGGAACCAGCACGTCTCCCTCGATGTGGATCCGCTGGGGAAGACGGATGCCCAAAGTGTGTGGGTCTCAGATTCGCAACCTGTTATCCACCTTAAACAAATCCACGCGAAGGCCGCCGTGTCGACTGTAACCCTCACTCAGGTGTAGGGACTGACACGGTCATCCTACTCGGAAAAATCTGTATCTGTATATCTGTACATGAATCTGTATCTGTGCATGAATATGTACCTGTACATGTATCTGATTGCAAATAAAGATATCGAGTGATTGCCATAGAACTAGTGTGGCTATTTTGCCTCCCTGCAATTATTGGACGCCTTCAAGGTGGCTCGTATTAGCTCGTATTAGCATCTTTCATTACCTCCATGAAATGTCATGGAGGTTACATTTACCTCCATGAAAAATGGAGGTATTGTTTTTGGCGCGTCTGTGTGTCTGTGTGTTTGTGTTTCCGCACATTTGTAGTCAGCATAACTTCAGAACGCCTTCATGGATTGTAATAATATTTTGTATACTTGTAGGTCTTACGAAGCCGAAGGTCAAGGTCAAATATGGGCCTCCTGGTGGCTGACCTGGTACTGCAGCAGAACGTTTGTATTTTGAGGGAAAACAGATGTGCCGGTTAAAGAGAAGGGGCTGCACGAGCAACCTCCATGGAGGAGCTCTGCAGAGCTCCTCCATGGAGGTTGCTCGTTCAGCCCTCAGCTCTGCAGAGCTCCTCCATGGAGGTTGCTCGTACAGCCCTTCGCGATACCCCCGCAGAGCTCCGCGACAAAACAGCTCAATTCGCTGGTTGTCGTCACGGTTGAGTTTTGCTTTAAAATCTTTGACCTCTGCGTTCAAAACAAGTCAATT